GGGCCTCCGGCGAAATCGTCGGGTACCCCTCCAGGCTCTTCGTCCCCGGAGCCGCCTTCGCCGTTTTCGTCGGACTACCCGTTTCCTGGTTCGGATCCGTCGGTCCCGAATCCGAACCCGTGAAGCGGATCCTCGCCGCGGCTTCTAGTGGGATCTTCGTCGTCACTCTCGCCGTCGTGAGGATGTATCTGGGTTGGGCTTATGTCGGAAATCGCCTTCTTAGCGCCACTGTTGAGTGTATGTTACAATACCCTTTTCACTTTTTCGGCTCCGGTTCCGAATTTCTGTTTGGTTGTCGAGAAAATCTGGGGTAAAAAATCGGAACTTTGGCTGTGGGTTTGGCTTCTTTTTGGTTTAACATTCTCTGTTCATAATCGTCACTGTCATGTGACTCTCACTTGCTCGGAACTTTCTCAGCATCCAAACAGAGTTTTCCTCTTTCTCTGGCTGATGTTTGGTTACCTATGATAGGAATAACGTTTTCAGCGGATTTCTGACGTGCTTTACGTTTTCCAGCATTTTCATGGCATCCAAATGGATCCTTCTCAAAGATTCTGGCTCTAAAATTTGCCCTTTTTATTGCATTGTTTTTGCTCTATTCTCGTTGCAGATGAAGAAACGGGATGGTATGATGGTCAGGTACCTTCTTCTATTTCATCCAGCTAGTGTGCCATGCTTTCGAGCTTAGGAACATTTTTTTGTAATGTTTCTGAAGATGATTTGAGAAGGGATTTTGGACTCTTTGGAACAGGTGTGGGTGAAAACTGCTGAAATCTTGGCACGAGATCGTCTTCTCGGTTCGTTTTCGGTAAGTTTCTTGCTCTTTGGATTGTACATCACTCTGTTTTTTCGTGTCTGTTAGACGTTCTTTCTTTCGAGGGTCATCCAGCAGGCAGAAATCCCTTGAATTCCCATTTCAAATTCCTGCACTTGTTTTTGCCAATCCACTATTTTCACTACCTATCTGATGAGCCCTGATTTCTTGTTAGAGTTGGGGGTTTGCCATTTTTATCTGAGGGATCTGCTGAAGTTTCTTCATTTGTTTCCGGGATTTGCCAAAATTTCTCCCTTCTGTTTGAGTTTTGGTTAAAGTTTCTTTCTTTTAGTTTCTGAAATCGTTTGCTTTGTACTTTACTCCCACCCTCTTGGCTTTTTCGGTTGGATAATCCATCCTCGGCTTTGTAAGAGTCAGGTACTCGAGCTTCGCATACCTGTGAGGTGCGACGAGGGCTCGGGTACCCGTCAGATGCCTAGCCGGCAAGGGCAAGTACGGGTGGAGCAAGGCGAAGGGATGAACCGAGGGAGGGCAAGGCGAAGAGAGAGAGAGACTCAGAGACATACCTAATTCAAGGGGGAGGGCGAGCAGTGTGACAAGGCAAGGGCGAACCGAAATCCCTACTTCTCTGCCTCCTTCACCCTTCAACCTCGGCTCAAAGTCTCCACCAAAAAACCCTAAATCCGTAATCTTTATTTAAAAAAATAATAATCGAAAGGTTTTAATCATCGCCCCCTCCCTCCCCCTCTATCTCTGGTACTTGCGGGACACAGGTACTCGTCGGCCTAAACCCGAACTCAAATCCGAATGTCGGGTTTTCGCCGGTGACAGACTCACGGGTCGGGCGGATATGTCCACATTTTGGGTGCCCGTATCCATCCCTACTTCAGCCTCACCACAAAAACTCACACTTTCGTGTTCGGTTGTGTGCTGCAGGTAAAACCAGTGCTTGCCAGGCTGAAGAACACGCTTGTAATCCTCGGGATATCGCTTTTCACATGCGTTCTTCTTCTCATCAACGTAGGCGATTCCCCGAACCCGTCGTCTAGGACATCACGGGACAGATCCAACATTCCTATCCCCGGTGTCTACAACGATGACGCCGCAAGAACATTCGAACCCGACGCTTTCTGCGGAGAACCTGAGCCCTCAAGTCTTCTATGAATCTCGTCTCCTCATCTTTCTTCACATCATCAATTCATAGAATCCATCATCTATACATTATTCTTGTATAGGTTGGTTATGTAAATGCAAAACCCCAATCTTATATAAGAACCAAAATATCAATAATCACTAACTGAGATCTATATTATTACTATAATCTAAATTTTTATTAATATAAAACTAAATTTTTATAAAACCGAATAAACCATTTTCGAACAAATCCGATAGATATCTAACCAAAATACAAATTATTCATCTTTATATATATATATATATATATAATCAAGTTTAGATTCATATTTAGTATTCATGTAACAAAACCGGTTGGAACTAAACCGATTACCGACTGGTTCTAATTTAGTATAATTTTTTAGAGGAACAAATAAACAGTTTTCGGAAGTGAATCCAAACAAATAAAAATCAAACTGAAACCCTAATTATGTGGCTTGCGCTGCAAGCTAAACGGTTCACTCCGAGCGATGATATCAGCCATCGCATCATCCTTACATTTTTTTTTTTTGATAATCGGGAAATTCACTGGGCCTTTGGTCCAACTACATCTCCCAGAGGAACGGGACAGTCCATGTGAAAACCCCTCCCCAACCAGGAATCGAACCGCCAAACTCTGAGTGCTTTGCACCCAGCTGCTGACCACTCGCCCACAAGTTGTTGGGTTCATCCTTACATTATTCAACCCACCTTCCAAATATTTTCTTTATACTATAATTTATACGAGGGGTTAGGGGTGTAAATTTTGGCCCCGAGTCTCGAAGTCCGCCTCGGTTCATCCCGAAAAATAACGAGTTTCGAGTCGAGATATTTAGATCCGAAAATTTTTTAGCGGATTAGACTTGATTTGGGTTTCGGATTGGGCCAAAAAGCCCGATATTTTTTCTAAAAAAATTTGTGCAGACCAGTCCACCACGATTCGAGTCTGAGGTCTATAGAATCGGGCTTCAGTAGACCTGAAAAAATCGTGCCGACCCGAGTACGAACCCAAAACGCTCGGGTCGAATGCGCACTCGGACCAGATCGGACCGACCGGATTGACACCTAGGAGGAGTTACAAAACAAAACCACAACAAAACATAGAAACTTCCAGTTCAACAAAAAGAAAACAAAATATCGAAAGAGTACGTTACTCTTGAGAATTCCATCACAATGCCATTTTAAAAAACCGAAATTTCTGCATATAAATTCCGAAACGAAATTTATGTGAAAAAAAAAGGAGGCCAAACAGCACAAAAATGAGATGCAAAAAGGTAAATCCAGAAACCCTAGCCCTTACCCTCCTCCTCCTCCTGCAGCTCTTCTCCTCAGCCGTCATCTCCTTCGACCCACCGAAAGACAAGGACTACAAACGGGAATTCAACTATTATCCAGGAACCGTCGTACGGATCGTCGTCTCCAATGATCTCCAAGGACTCAAGAAGCCCAACGCCGGATTCGTCTGCACGGGCTGGGGCAAGGTCTGGAGGAAATCGATGCCTGGAGATCGATACGTCTACAAATTCAAGTACGACGGCAGGGCCAGGGAGAGCTTCCACCACTGCCATCTCCGGTCCAATCTAGGGTTCATCAATTTCCGGGTGAGCATTCACCCGGACATCACCGCATATTGCGGCCGCGATTACGTCTGCAATTACTCGATCCGCAGAGAGGGGCTTCTCTACAAGCCTCGCAATCAGCTCTTCCCATGGCAGCCTTGGCCTCGCCGTGCTCGGTCCCTCTCCGGCGGCGATCCATAACGGAGAAGTGATTGTGCGTTTCGTCACAGATTTAACAATTATATTATATATATACACATATACATATACATATATATGTACTTAACCAAAAGCATTCCACCTAAATATTGTACTTAACCAAAAGCATTCCATCTACATCGGAATGAATTTTTTTTTTTTTACTATTTTACATTTTGAGTTATTTAGTATATTTTTTTTCTAAAATATTTAAAGCTAACACAATTGGGTCCGGCTCGATATTTGTTCAATTTTCTTTCAAATATTCCGTCTTTGGATTTGGTCTGAATTTTTATGCATACGATTTTGGCTCTATATCTTATGCACCCAAAAACTCCGTTATATTTGTAAAAGGCAAGGTTAATAATATTACAAGAAATATTAGATTTAGCTAATTATATTACCAATCCCCATCGTAAAAGTTTCTTTTCTTTTTCCAGTAAATACAAAACAATACGAAACTAATTAATTACACACATATTTTAAAATTACAAAAAAAAAAAAAACACTCTCAAGTCTCAATCCATGAACAAGGCCAAAAAATGGGTAATGTTAACCAAAACCCTAGCTTGGTGCCTTGTTCTGCAAGCAATCATCACTGCTGGTGAATCCGCGACTAAGCCAAGAAACGTGTGGAGTTTCTGGATAATGATAAGGAACGAGATGTACGGAATGAAACGTCCGACGGTATTCCACCGTTGCCGGTCTCCGGAAAAAGACTACGGTTGGCACGAATCCTTCCCGGCGTCGGAATTCTCTTGGGATTTCACGGTGCCTCCGTTTGGTAACGGCGACAAGATCCACCACTTGCCAGTTCCGATCGTCGGAGGAGACGCTGTCCACTTCACATGTAAATACAGAGCCGTCAAAAGCAAATGCCCCCAATTTCATGGGGCCTACATTTAAAAAAAATGATTTTTAAATATTAATTTATAATTATATTTATTAATCTATATATGATAAATAATTAAAATTATATTTTTCATAAAGTTTTGGTAATTATCGCCATTAATAATTACAATTTTTGAGTTATGTTTGTGACTATTTAGCATTAAATTTATTAATTAATATAATTAAACTTTTTATTAAATATTTTTATAAAAATAAAAAATATATTTTGTATGAGGGCCTCTAAATCGTTTGGGTTGTAGTGAAAAATAAAACAGGCTCATCTTATAAGTAACTGGTTTCTGTTTAGTACTAAATCTAACCACATATGGACGTTGAGAAAGTATATCAAATAGAATGATGATTATTGTTACTGTTATAACGAGTACTGAGTCATAAAATATATAACAAAAAAATATATTTTGTATGAGGGCCTCTAAATCGTTTGGGTTGTAGTGAAAAATAAAACAGGCTCATCTTATAAGTAACTGGTTTCTGTTTAGTACTAAATCTAACCACATATGGACGTTGAGAAAGTATATCAAATAGAATGATGATTATTGTTACTGTTATAACGAGTACGATATATATATATATATATATATATATATATATATATATATATATGTATATGTATATATAACAAATCAATATGCATCGCTGATTGCTATATCGGTAGAGAATATGAAGGATGCTAAGTTAGGTCATTTTCATTAATATCCAATAATTTTTCACTCGTGGTTAGTAAGCTCCACAACTAATTTCACTTTCTTCGTTTTTAGTTTATAACAATTTTTTTCCAAAATCGTCAATATATAAACCTTCGCGAAAGAAGTGAATATCCAAAAATTTAAAAAAAAAAAAGGGAAAAAAAATGGGAGCAGACAAGAAGAGTGGCGGTGGTGTCGCCGTCGTCATCTTGAAAACCCTAGCGTGTTGGTTTCTTGCCATGCAAGTAATCTCTGTCCCCGCGGACGCTATCGTCCCCGGAGAGGTGGAGTTCTCGATCCTGATCAAGAACGAGATGTACGGACTGAAACGTCCGACGGTGGTGTACCAATGCCGGTCGCCGAAGAAAGTTTTCCGGTGGCATAAATCAGTGCCCAAATCGGAATTTTCTTGGGATTTCAACGTGCCGCCGTTCGGAACCGCCGTGGTGGTCCACCGCTGCCATTTCCGGTCGAGCCAGGGAACCGCTGACGTGGAGATCAAGACGATATCGATGACGGCGATGCTATGCGGAGGGCATCTGTGTAAATACGTGATCAAACCGAACGGGATATACTTCGTAGGGTACGAAACGTATTATCCGCACAACATTTTCCTGCGGTTCTTGGAGCTGGTGAGGCCCGTGGAGAAGCTGGTCGAGCCGTGGAAGGCTTGGTCCCCGAAACAGCTCGAGGCTCTGCGGCCGAAACGTGGCCGAGACAAGGACGACGATGACGATAAACATGACGATTGATGATGACGATGATTCGGAGTAAACGCTGCGGAAAAGATATCGTCAACGAAAAATTGGAATTATATATATATATATATATATGGGAGACGATATGATTGTTATTATTTAGAAATTCATAAATTCATTCGTTTATAATATCTGTGGATCTCTTAATATATGGCTATTAAACATTTTGTGATTCTGCAACAACAAAACCCAAAAAAAAAAATTATGTCTGGACGTGAAGTTATAAGTATTTATCAGTCGGAGTTTAGATAAAATCTTATTTGTAATTCTACATTTTATCATACAGCAACACTCATAATATAGAACAAAATAATAATGGTTGTGATAAGGATGGATCTAGATTTTTTTTTTTTTTTTTTGAAAATTGGGTATTGTGGGTCAAAACCTACACTAATATCGGAGTCGGAAGCAAACTATTTAATAGAAATTACACTTCTCTATCCAATTTGAGATTCGAACTCACAGTATAGATGTCATGCATCCCCGTTTCATCGGTTGAGCTATCCAAATTTGATTGATGGATGTAGAAATTTTATATAGAGATGCCAATATTAGAAGAATTTACAGTTTTTTTCATTAGGGCATCAACTAAATTTTCTAAACTCCATCTAATATATACCCCCCATTTAATTAATCAACGATAACTAAGGAGATTGAGATTTGCAAGATAATGCTCAATTAAGGAATCAACAACAGATGTGCAATATTTGTTTTTAGTTAATATAACGAAAAGAAAAAAAAAGCTGTCCCCCTCTCGATCGGAACAGTTAACGCATTTTGATTGAACGTTACAACGATTGGTTCCAAATATAGTAGCCAGTAGCCATGCATAAACAAAACTCCGATAGAGACAAGGGAACGAAAGAACAGGCACGATACGTGTACGTAAATATGGCAGGCAAGACGAGGATTCCCGAAACCCTAGATGGACGGTTCACCATCATTATCTTCATGGCCATGACGATGATGACGATGGTGACACATGGCCAGGGGTTTAAGCTCGAGGTGAAAAACGAACTTACAGGAAGATATAGGAGGCTTGTGTACCAATGCTGGTCCAAAGACGACGATTTGGGATGGAGAATGAATTGGCCTGGACAAGTCAAGGATTGGTCCTTCTCCATGTCCGTGTTCAGTACTTACTTCTACTGTAATTTCCGTACAGGGTACGGTCTGAATTCTTTGAATCATGCATATATATATATATCTATATATATATATATAAAAGCTTCTCTTCATTTCGTTTTGAGTTTTGAATTATATGGCTGCAGGTACGGACGGGCCGACAAGCAGTTGGTGGCGGCGTGGGATATGAAGGAGGAGTGTGGGGACAGGCAAAAATGCACGTGGGTTGCGAAGAAGGAGGGTTTGTTCCTGAGACGTTGGAAGACGAGGTTTCTCAGCAACAAGTACGGAACTGAGAGGTGGCCCGAGTACGAACAACGTGATACGCTCCAAAGACATTGGAGCCAGCAATGATGATGATGACGACGTTCTATTGGCTTGTCTGATGATCAAATCTTGTCCAAAGAAAAAATAATAACAGAATCATAAATTAAATGTTGTAATCAACGGTGTTTTAAAACATCATTATAATATTTTACAAATTAAGATGACTGCAGGATGGGTTTTACATTCCGGATACGTATACAGTATAATATCCTGCAATGTATATAATATATTATATACTCCTTCGAAAGTTGGGATAATCCCGATAGTTGGGTTTCTAGATTGACATATTACGGTGATCATAAAAAAAAGCAAATGATCTTTAAAATAAAAAATCGAAGTTGAACCGAATCGAATTAACCGAAAAAATAATTGAAAAATCCAAAATATCGTCGAAAATAAGAATTTTTCTTAATAAAAATCGAATCCAAATTGAAACAAACTAAACATAATTTAATATAAAAATCAAATAATTTTTTTTTTTATAATGAAGATCGAATAATTATAGTCCATGTAATGGAAATAACCAAATCAAATTCAATCCGAAACCCTAAATAGCCCGCTAGCGTGGTTGAAAGTGAAACTCGTTACATTGTAAGCCTATCAGGCCTAAACATGCATGTATGCATAGGATCCAACCATGTCCATGAGCCATTAAATAGAAGTTCGCAGTTTCATTCGGATCTTTAAAAAACTATATAATAAAAAAAGTTCTATATCGGTTCCATAAATAAATAAATAAACGTTTATAGCAATTAATTTTTAAAACTTGAAATTTATAGCTAATTAAAGAATAAATTCAGGATTAGAAAACTACCCTAACCGAGACACATCCATCTTTAAAATTTAATATTATACATATAGACTGTCTGAAGTCCATATCATCATTTTTATATATTTTATATGTATGTATATGTGTATATATATATAGAAAGGTTCATTTTCACAGGAGACAATATTTATGTAACTTATAAAACCATCCCATCTAAATGGACTGCCGGTTGACTATTGGCCACTCTTGCTCTCTCTCCCCGCTCCGTTTTGGGTTTTATCTCACTTCTCTCTCCACCTGCCCACTTGCGCAATGTGGAGATCGACGGACGCACAGTTTCTCCGTCTCGACGGTCGGTGGTTGCTTAACCTGCTCCACTCCTGCTTATCGTGCGCCGCTTCTGCCATGGTGCGAGGAATTAGGAGGCGGCGGTCATCCTGTTCCTGTTGATAGGCAACTACATTATAGGAGCTAACTCTGCTCCGCTCAATCTTATTGAGATTGTATATGATTTCCCAAATATTCTGTTTCCCTAAATGTAGCAACAACACCATGTATATATTCGTATACTCATGAATGAGGATGCAAAATCAATATTCAGCAAACTCTGTTTACTATCATGGTATCAGAGCTCTAAAACGTCCATTGACGTACTCTCTTTTCAAGCCTGCATCTTTTCGGCTCTATACCACCGATCTTCCCTGTTTTTATTTTTAATCTCTTATCGCCATGTCTGCCACTCCCCCACTACAAAAAAATCAGCAAATTCCAACGAATTTTCCAACGGATTTATCCGTTGGAAATTTTTCAACGGATTTTCAACGGTTTTCAACGGCATTTCAACGGTGATTTCCGTTAAAAATCCGTTGAAAATTTCCAACGGATATCCGTTGGAATCGCCCGTTGGAAATTTTTAACGGAATTTTCAACGTATTCAATTGAAAAAATTGGGTTGAAATTTTCCAACGGTATTTCCAACGGATATCCGTTGGAATTTTTTTTGGAAATTTAAAAAAAAAATTCCAAC